GTGGAGAGCAAATGTTTTGAGAATGATGAGGCCAGTGAATGTACAAATGTGCTTTACACAATTGATGCATGTGTGAATTGTGATAAGAGTTGTAGAAGCCCCCAATAAAATGATTTTTTTTAATTCTATCACTATTGTGTTCTTTCTGTTAAAATGTAAGTTTGTTTTCTTTTAAAAAAAAAGAAATGAAATAAAAATTTTAGTGTGGGTTGTCACTTTATAGTGAAGGTAAATTTGCATAACATTAAAGGGCAAGCTTGAGTTGCCCATTGGAAAGTCATAACCTAAGGACAGTCTAAAAATTCATTTATCTATGGGCAGCTGACTTTCTATAATTTTACAGCTATATTTTTTATTTCATAAAAGTAATATTTTATAATAGCTTGCTTTGTTCTATTCTCATTTTTCAGGTTTGACATATGGTTTACATATCACACAATTTAATGATTTAATCACATCATAGAGTTCTGCAGTCATCACCACAGTCCACTTGAGAACAGTTTCTACTCTTGTGTATTCATTATTTGCTCCCCCTCTGCCGCCAAGCTCCTTACAATAATAAACTATTAATCCAGTTACCGTATCCATTGATTTACCTACACTGGATTTCATACACTGAAAAACATAGCCAAAAAAAATCAACAATAATAAAAGAGAAAAACCTAATCAAAAAAGAAAGCGGAAAATATTAAACGCTAGCAAAAATTCTAAATGAGTCAAAGGGGAGAACAAATGATAAGGTGTTACATGTCAAGTCCATGAAAGTATTTCTGTTCCTTTAATCCGCTACAAGTGTGTTTAAAGTAAAGTGGTTCACTTAGTGGGGTTTCCAAATGAGATCCTTCTGGTGTGGCCTATGAATAAAATTGTGCACATATAAAGGGCCGAATCTAATGTCCTGGTTTGCTATGACACTTGGTCTGGGTCACCAAGGACTGGTTGGTAACTTGGTCAAAATGCCTGATTAGGAACATAATACTGGGCATATTCTCCCATTGGAAATCTATATAAGTAATGTTAAGCAAAATGTAATGAGGAAATTAGACGGTGCCCAGCTATCAGAAAGAATAGTGTCTGATGTCTTTTAAGACCTCAGACTTGGCTCAAAACAGGCCGCTTGAGGTGTCAGCTAAGTCTATGTGAAAGAAGCAACCATCCTGTGCGAGCCAAGGACTGTAAATAACAAAACCCGAGACTGGAGCACGGAACTGTATTCCAGCTTAAATTCTGAGCATCCAGTATGCAGAAGGCTATGGATGACAGTGAAAGCTCAAATCCACTTGCTGCATTCCCCAGTGGATGAAGCCTCCTGAGAATCTCTGCTGACCACTGACCAAGGATATGAAAGCCTGGCTCTCAGAAAGAGTACACTGGAAAGTGGATCAATGCAGATGGAGTTAGGTTAAAACAGAACACCTGATCGTTCGTTCTCCCGTTTTGACTCATTTAAATTGATTCTAGTTTTTATTGTTAGCTTTCTTTTCTATTGAGATTTTTCTATGTTTCACTTTGTTATTGTTTTCTGGGGAGTGGTTTTTTGGTAAGTTTTTCTGTGTATGAAATCCAGGCTAGGTAAATCTATAGAGACTTTAACTGGATTAATAGTTTCTTAGGGTTATGGCAAGAGAAGTTGTGAGGAGATTGGAAGCTAGTGAGTACAAAAAGGTGGAAAATGTTCTAAAACGTGGTGACAAATGTACAATTCTTTAATATGTTTTAACCATTGAATTGTGTGTTTTGTGAAGTTTATGTCAGTAAAACCGGTAAAAACAAAATTTACATGTCCGACAGGTTCATCGTGTGTGTGTGTGTGTGTGTGTGTGTGTGTGTGTGTGTGTGTAGATATAACTTTTTAAATAACGTAGAAAGCCACAAATCAGTACTCCTTACTTGGGAAGAGCTAGCGGTTCCCTAGGAACTTCAGCAACAGCAGCAACTGCTGCTGGAGGCCCTGCCTCCTCCGAGCCACAGGCCTCCTCCTGAGCTGCACCTGGGGTGCCTGGACTTTGTCCGTGACCCGCTTCCTGAGGTCCATCCCATTCTGTGGTGGAGTCAATCTCGACTTCCCGGACTGGGACTGGGACTGGTTCCTTCTCAGCCATGGCAGCTGCTTTGTCTTTTGCTGCTGCTTCTTCTTTTCTGCTGATTTTCTCTTCAAGTTCCTTTCTCCTCTTCTCATCATCCTGACGAGCCAGATGGTCAAAGGTTTTGAATACCTAAAATCAAACAGCAATCAGTTCAGCTATCCAATACCATATCACAAAATGTAGCAGGATCTGGTCATAAAGAATCAAAAGGCAATAGAAAGAGTCAGTCGTGACGGGACCTATCAACAGCTCATTATGCCAACAATGTCCTATCTCCAACCAAAAAGGTTTCCCATTAGTAAAATGGAAAAGAATGTTAATACTAGTTATTTTGAAAACAATCAACAAAATTAAGAATTCACAATCCAAAATTCACAGTATTTACATACCTTACGAGTCAACCTGTCGAGTTTAAAGAATGCACACCTAGGTTGCCTTCCCGATCAGTCTCTCTGTAGCCCCTTACACAATCTCGCATATGATGCCATGGAACAAAGTGCGCGAACACTGAGAGGTCTGAAGGCATCAAATCATTCAGACAACACAGAAAAGTGAAAATTCAGTTGAACATCAATCCCCAACTAGTCCAGACAACCAAGCTCACTAGACAGTGCTGCTCTCCTGCCCACACTGCGCAGGCTGAGGAAAAGTATGACATAAAAACTGGGCAACCTAATCCAACAAACATCTACTAGGTGCCTATAATATGCAAGGAGCACACCAGCAAATCATTTTTAAAATGATGCCTTATGTCTTCTAAGTACTCAAAATTCTGGTGTGGGGCTCAGAAGCCCTTAACCTTTCCTGAGACCCAAGCACTAACAAGAAAGGTCTGGGGCCTCTGCTCCCAAATTGGGCACATGTAAAATGGTAGGGATGCTGAAGGATCACTGTCAGACACGCACCTAGCACCTGAAGCCCCAACAGACCCATAGAGAGACAACACTGGTCCGGTCAGATGGTAAAGACGGGAATGAGCATTCTGGGAGAAAGAAATCGAGAATCTTGAGAGAAAAGGGATGGGAATTAGACCCTGAATGAAAGGCAGCGCTTTCTGAGGGAGCTATGAGAGGAAACACTAAGGAACAGCCCTCTGTGGAAACAGCTGAGCCCAGCGCCAAGAAATACTGTTCTCCTAGAGGCAGGAAAGGCTGAGGTTAAGCGTGAAAAGGCCGATTTTGAAAGGAAGGACTGCAGGCAGGTATTATACAAGAAAAGTTTTGAGCACCAAGCTAAAAAATAATAATAAAAGAGGGGTACAAACATACTAAATTATACCAGTGGTTTTACAAACATTCTCTGGAAACTCTCACAATAGTCCTGTGAGGAAAAATATATTGAAAGAGAAGGAAAAAAATAAGGTTAAGAAAAAAATAAATAAGGCTAAGAGAGATTAAGTAAGTTGCCCAAGATCCTACCGGTGAGACAAGGCAGTTAAAAAAAAAAAAAGTATACAAGAGGCACCAAATAAAGAAGATACAAGCAAAAGAAAATAAATAAAATTCTAAGGTTAAAAATCACAGCAATAACATTTCGACTTTTTCAGAAAAAAAATGTAAGCTTTCGACTCACATCTCTCTCACACACACATCTTTTTATTGCACGTCTTTCCTTGCTACACCAGGTTGTCAACATCATAAAAGCAAAGCAGCAGCAAGGCTTTCTCCCCTCTTGCCTCTGGAAAATCTAATGCAGGGCCTCCCAAGACTTCCTCACCTGCCTGTCTCTCCTTACAACCGCACAGCCCCGGCTGCAGTCTCCTACCACCTGCCCACTTGTCATCACCAAAGAGAGCTGTTCATGTCTACCAACTTCTTCATCACATACATTCGAGACTCAGAACCGTGGAACTAGGAAAGGCTCCTGTGGTCCTGCAAGCACATTTTCAATCCCCAGAGAGGTGAAGTGATTTTCCTAAGACTTCCCCAACAGGCTGGGTGACAAACAGTTACAGAGCTGGCTTTCCTGATTCTCATGTCAGGGACTTCTACTAGCTACTCCTCAGACTTGACTCCAGGATAAACATAGAGTATAGCACGTTGTTCAAAATAATCTTTCCTTAAACATTTTTCTAGGAAATGGAATGGAATTTTCACATTTATCTTTAAAACCACGATTTGTCTGTCAGTTTGTCATACTGTGGTGGCTTGGGTGTTGCTGTGATGCTAGAAACTAGGTCACTAGTATTTCAAATGCCAGCAGGGTCACCCAAAGTGAAAAGTGAACAGGTGTTTCTTTGAGAAGTAAGGTGCACCTGACCCGAGCCATGGTATTCTCCATTGCACCATAAGCATGTGAGAGTTGGAAAGACTGAAGAAGATCGATGCATTTGAACTGTGGTGCTGGAGAAGAATAGTGAAAGCACCAGGGACTGCTCACCGGACAAGGCAATCTGTCCTGGAAGAAGTGTACTCCTTAGGGGAGCACAGCCAGAATGCTCCTTAGAGGCAAGGATGGCAAGACTGTGTCTTACACACTTTGGCCGTGTTATATTGGGAGACAGCAGGCCCTGGAGAAGGGCATCATTATTAGGTAAAGTAGAGGCGCAGTAAAAAAAGAAGAAGGCTCTCATGGATACAGATTGGCATCATGGTTGCAAAAATAGGATCAGGCAAAGGAACAATTGTAGGATGGATGGCACAGAACATGACACAAGGCATTCTGTTGTGTATCGAGTCACTACAGGTCAGAACTGACTCAATGGCAACGAACAATAGCAACAATCCTTAAGAGGCAACTTCAAGCAATTTCTAACCTGTTGCAAGTCCTTCCAGCTGTGCATCCATATCTCGAGTCTTTAGAAACAACCTGGAGGACCATTTGAGAAGCCTTGCATGATACCAATTGTCCACTCCCAACATATAAGTAGAAAGCTTTCAAGTGCAACTCCCATCCGAGTCCTCTTTGCCTATGTTCAGAGAGACTCCAGATGTCCTCAAGTAGGGTGGCTCCAGTAAGAAATCTGTGCAACCAATCCAGGGAGACTAAGGTGACCTACTCCTGAAGCCAAATTGTGTGGTACACAAAAAACTGCCTTCCACACAACAGCTGTGTCCTGTGGCACCCTCAGCCTCCCTTCCCCAGTCATTCATGCTCCAGCTGTCCATGTGCTCCTTCCTTCCCTTGCTCTCGTGCTCAGCCAACTGAGCTGACTGAGCAGGAGTGGCTACAGGCTCAGAATCCCACATGCCTCCCCCGCTTCAGATACAAAACCAATTCTACTGCCACCAAGTCGATTCTGACTCACAGCGACCCTACTGGCAAGAGCAGAACTGCTCCACAGGGTTCCCCAGGCTGTAAATCTTTACAGAAGCACACTGCCGCATCCTGCTCTGCAGAGTAGACCTTTTAATTCACTTAATCCACTGCACAGCCTGGGATCCTATCACACCAGACCACCAGCCAGCCTCAAATGTAGGGCTTTCCTCTACCTCCGCAGCAGAGTAGTCACAGCTCCAGAGTCTACCGAACTCCTCAGCTTCCGACCAGCTGGCCCCACTACTCTTTTTGAGCCCTATAATTCACTGGAACAACTCCCAGAATTCACAGAGAACATACTATACTTACTACAGAGTTATTACAACCAAAAAGGATCTTGATGGTGAGATCTAGGAGGGAGGGTCACGGCACAGAGCTGCCACATCCCAAGAAGGGACACACTACCTTCTCCTGTGTACAGTCATCAACCAGAAAGTTCCTACTGAGTCTCATGGCCCAGAACCTTATCAGCCTCACCACATGGTCATGACAGATTACACCATGCCTTCTAAGACTCAGTCAGGATCTGGCCCCAAGACTATCTGGCTCTCAGAAACCCAAAACAAAGGGCTAATTTGCTCTCTAGACTTATAGGCTGTGTGCTATCTAGTCAGGATCAAAAGAAGTCCCCAAAATACAGAGAAGTAAGAATAGAGGTCAGGAGATGACAGAAGACAAGCTAGATGACTGGGACCGCCTAAAAGTTAGACATTTGGGCATCTAAACACTGCATCTAAAGAGTGAAAAGAGAATCCACTGTCAGAGGAAAAAAGTTGGGGCGATGACATATCAGACAAGGGACTAATACTAACATTACAATAAACTTCAATACCTCAGCAAGGAAAAGACAATGACAAATGGTCAGAGGGCATGAACAGACTTCACCAACAAAGACATGGGCAGCAAACAAACATGAAGAAATGCTCAAGATCATTAGCCATTGAGAGATGCAAATCAAAACAATGAAATACCACCTCCCGTCAGCATGAATAGCAAAGGAAATGAGAATGATCAATGCTGGTGAGGGTGCAAAGAGAGGCGAGATTCACGCACTGCTGATGGGATAGGACAGTGGTACACACACTGTAGAAATGGTATGGCACTTTCCCCAAAAGTTAACAATACTAAATGATCCAGCAACCTTTCTAGTGGTAGCTACCCTGGAGAAACAAGAGCTGCTACATGAATAGATACACACACATTGTAGCAAAAAAATAGAAATATGGTACCTTTTCATCGGTGGAAGAATGGGTAGACAAACCTTGGTACATAGACACAATAGAATACTATACAAAGTTAAAGAATAACAAACCTGCAAAACACTTCATAACACAGATGAATCTGAATGCTCAGTGAAATTAGTCACAAAGGACAAACAGTGTATGAGATCACTGTCATGAAAAGTCAAGTAAGGTTTTCATACTAAAACAAGCATTCTTTGAGAGTTACCATTGGCGAGAGGGGAAGGTAGGAGTGGGAGGTCACTGGCTTGAGGGTAGACAAATATCAGCTTGGATGTAGGGGTGGGCACTGTACAATAAAAGAGAGACTTGGAAAAAAATATGGAGTTAATAGAAAATACTGGAGGGTTTGCAGCTGGTGAGTAGCAACTGGGATCTTCAAAGCTCATGAACGGCCATTTAAGGTGCAAGTATTGGTCTTTCCCCGTCTGGAGGGAAGAAAAGTGATGAAAATGGAAAGACACATGGAAACAATTAGTCCAATGGACTAATGGACCACACAAACGTAATTTTCCACAACCCTGAGACCTGAAAACTAGGTGGTACCCGGCTACTCCTACAACTCGTCTGAAAGGGATCGGATTAGAAGGTCCTGGATAGAGTGGGAGAAAAATGTGGGACTGAACACAAAACCATAAAAGACACAATGCTTACTGGTGAGATAGTGATGTGTAGGGCATCCCACTCCCTCCAACCACCCCCCACATCCCTGCCCCAAGACTACTGCCCTTTGTCACCCTTTCTGTCTGAAACTGAACTCCCTCTCGTGTTAGAATAAGCAGCCATTTAAAATCATAAGGGTAGCATCTCCCCAAGGACAAAATTCAGAGAGCTAGGAAAGAAGGAGGAACGGAAATAGGGAGCCCAGAGAGGAAGTGAAATAAATGACTGAACATGGAGGGGCCTGCAATGAAGGGGTTGAAATAAAATACGTATGAATTGTTGACTGTAAAACTAATGATCTGCTCTGTACACTTTCACTAAATTCACAATAAAGAAGTTTTTTTTTAAAAAGAAGATAATGCATGTAAGTCATTATTTTAATATCCCATCTTACAACAAAACCCTAGCCAAAACAGAAATCACTTTCACAAGCATTCTGCCAAATGGGGTTCTGTAGGATGAAAATGCAAAGCAAAGATGGCTTGAGCCAAGCCACAGAATTCGCAATTGCTCGTATACATGCCAAAGCTGGACAACGAATACGGAAGACCAAAGAACTGATGTCTTTGAATCACGGTACTGAAGAATATTGACTATACCATGGACTGGCAAAAAACAAACAAATCCATGTTTGAAGAAGTACAGCCAGAGCCTCCTTAGAAAGGAGGATCGGGAGACTTGTCTTTGGACATTTATCTGGAGGAACCAGTCCCTGAAGAAGTGTATCATGCCTGGTAAAAGGGTCAGCGAAAGAGAAGACGACCCTCAACAAGACGGATACACTGAGCGCAACAATGGGCGCAGGGGAGGACACGGAAGTGGCCAGTGTTTCACTCTGCTGTACATAGATATTGTTATTATTACTGTTGTTGTTGTTGTTGTTGTTAGGGGTCATCAAGTTAGTTCCGACCCATATCGACCATATGCACAACAGAATGAAACCCTGCCCAGTCCTGTGCCATCCTCACAATTGTTCTTATGCTTAAGCCCATTATTGCAACCACTGTGTCAATGCATCTACAGGGACATTGGGAAACTCAAATGGCAAGACTCAGATGAAAGTATTAAGCTACTAAAAAGCCCTGCTGGCTATATCAGCTTTGGTGGCACAGTGGGTCAGGAAGTATTGGACTACTCTCCAAAAATCTAAGGGTGGAGCCCACTGGCCAACCCAAGAGAGAACGAGCAGGCAATCTGCTTCAGCAAAGAAACCTTATGGAGCAATTCTAGTCCAATACGGTGCTGAGAGTTGAAATTGACTCCACTGGAGGGAAGGCGGGTGCAGGGCAGGGGCAGGTTCTTACGGTCCTGCTAAAAACTATCTCCTTCACTATGGAAAACAGTGTGGCTCTTCTTTTAAAAACTGGAACTAGAAATACCAAATGATCCTGCTATCCCACTACTAGGTACATATCCTAGGAGTTATATTCTGCTGACCCTGTATCTACTTTACGAAGCGAAACAAGCGTCATGGCACAAACAAGTAGGTGCACACGCGTGTCCTTTCAACGTGGTGTAAGCAAAGATACTTTCGTCGGGAAACGTGAGAGGACTGGAAGCACCCCCTACAGAAATGTGCAGACCTACATAAAGTTTGTGTACAGAAACAAAAGCATTGGGTTTTGATCATTGTTTAAGGAAGGTTTATATGATTTTGTAGCAATACTTTGCTACTTACCCACATACATGCAATAATCACAATCAAATTAACTGAGTGAACATTAAAAAGCTGTTCATACAATTTAACGTAAGTTGTATTGACACATGGCAAAATATAAATTTAATAATTATACATATATTTAAGAAAAACTCGCCGCCAGACTCATAACGATCCAATAGAGCAGAATAGAATTGGCCCTGCTAGTTTCCAAGACTATAACTCTTTAACAGGAATAGAAAGCCCCATGTTTGTCACAGAGCGGCTGGTGGTTTCAAACTGCTGGCCTTGCAGTTAGCAGCCCAACTCCTAACAACCAGGGCTCCTTAATTTTATATATATGCTCAAGTGTAAATTAAATATATTATGACTGTCTCTGAGCTGGTAATTCATGTTTCAAACAAACTGACCATATCCATTCATCAACACAATCCCTCAGTCATTCCTTCCACCTCCAGAGTCTTTTGTCTTTGTAGTTTGGGGGCGTGTCAATTTCTGTTTATGTAAATTTGTCATTCCTCCCACCTGGCCTAATACCTGCATAGTTTTCACTCCCTGACGAGCAGCCCTTAGTACATGGCACCACCATGGGATGAGCGAGGGCTCCGCTTCGGGCGAAACCACCAGCCACTTTGCGGTAGAAGGACGAGGTTTTCTACTCCAGTAAACAGGCTATGTAGTCTTGGAAACCAAGAGGGGCGGTTCGGCTCTGCCAAATGGGGTCGCTGTGAATCAGAATTGACTCCACGGCAGTGAGTTTGGTTTGGGTTTGGTGGGGTGGATCCTAGTTTGCTACTTTTGACACATTGTGTGTAAAACTAGGTTGAGAGGCAGTCACAGATCCCACTGAAGAATAATCTGATACCCAATCAGCGTTTCAAATTACTTTCACTGTCCTCGTCCCATCTGGTCTTCTTGCTGGCCCGGGAGGGAGATCTACAGAATCACCAAAGGGTAGAAATTGAGGTTGGTAGTAGTGTCCCGCAACTTAAAGGGGGGCGGAGCCAGAAAAGCAGCCAGGACTGCGCGGTATGTCAGGGAGCAGGATGCTCCCAGAAACGGGAGCTTCCAGGGACCTTCACATCGGTGACTGGCTACTGGGTGGACATGATCGAGAACCTGTCCAGCTCCGCTGTTACCTGCAGCACCAAGGCCTGAGCGGCCCCCGGCGGAAAGCCCATGCGATCGGACGGGTGGCGCAGGAGGCGGTAAAAGTCGGTCTTGCGGTAGAGGAAACCGAAAAACACGCGCAGAAAGTCCTGAACGTTGCCCACATGCTGCAAGATGCCCAGCAGGGCTTGATCGTATAATTCAGCTGAGCCAGGTTCCATGTCGTCCGACGGGCCCGGGAGGAGCTCACGCACTGCTGCAGGTCGGCCTGGAGGAACCCGGACCACAAACGACTTCCGGAGTGCGCCGCTAACGGCTCCGCCGGCCAGCTCCGCCGCGGAACTTCCGGTTCGCGCTTGTTCCGCTCCGCCCGGCCGCCCCGGAGACCCGCTTCCGCCGCCGGCCGGAAGCACCGCCCCTGCTGTCCCCGTGGGGCTTGCCCGCCGGCAGGTTCCTCGCGCGGAGCCTGACTTAGGAAGCAGATGGCTTGCTTCTGAGCGGAAGACCCGCGGAGGCTGGGCTGAAGCAACTTGAGCACCATGATTGAAATGGGCGGAAGAAAGGGGCTTGTCGATTGCGGGTACTGACACGTGGGTTAGCTTGTCAACTGAGTCGCTGGATCTCATCACGTAGCCTGTGGGACGTTGGCTAACTCGTGGGCAGAATTCTCCCAAATTATTAGTGGCTAAAACCTAACTCGTGGGCAGAATTCTCCCAAATTATTAGTGGCTAAAACCTGACCCGCTGTGAGTTTTGTTTTGTTTTGTCTTGTTTTTACCAGTGGGACAGAAAGGGGGGAAATGCATGTATGGAGGTTGGTATGAATTTCTTCATTCTTAATTTCTTAAGTGAAATTAAAGGCGTTGCATCAGAATAGGTTGTGCGCTGGGCTGCTAGCCACAGGATTAGCAGTCTGAACCCACAACTGCATTGAGGGAGGAAGATGAGCCTTTCTGTTCGCCTGACGATGTATATAGCCTCAGGTCACTTTGAATCGATTGCCTCGGTGGCAGTGGGGTTGGGGGTTTGTTTATAAGCAGATGATTTTATATACAGTTCTTTTTCATCGCGTAGACTATTACAATGGCTTGATCTCAAGTGTCAAGATGTACTAAAATTAATAATTTTAACACTGCATTGGGACATTCTTAAGTGAAACTGGGTTTTTTTGTGGGGGGGCGGGTAGTCTGTCAGGCAGTGAAGAATGCAGTGACTATTGAGTTAAGTCCCACTGTGCCACTACTTTGTTTCCTGCTGAGGCACTTGTAGTTTTGCATACCGTTTGTTTTGCACCACTAGTGCAAAACACATCCTAATCTCATGATTTTAACCATGGAGGCCCCCAAGGGCCTTGGAAAGGCAATACCCTAGAGAATTAAATAGTCCGTGAGTAAACCTAAGGAGCCCTGGTGATATAGTGAGCTATGCACTGAGCTGCTACCTATAAGGTCAGTGGTTTGAACCCACCTCCACCTGCTTTCTGAGAGGAAAAAGATGAGGCAATCTGCTCCTATAAAATGTCAATTGTTTTGAAAACCCAAAGGGACCATTCTAGCCTACCCTCTAGGGTCAGAGTCAGAATTGACTCTTGGTAGTGAGTCAAGGAAATCTCAGTATGACTTCAATGTATATGCAAGAAAGGGAGGGAGGGGGCTGGAGAGGTTGAGCTAGAAAGGAGTTTTCGTTTGGGCTTGTTTTTTTGGGAGGGTGTTATTTTGTTACCTTGTATATGTATTGCCTGGTCAAAAAGTAAATAAAAGAATGTTAGAAATAAATTTAGTGAAAAGCTAAACATAGCCTTATGATATGGTCAAGCAAACACTTATTATTTGAAACCTAACTGATTTGAAAACTATGACCACAAAAAAACTTCATGTGAATTTTCACAGCAGCTTTATTCATTAAAAAACACTAGCAACAGCCAAAAAACCTCACTGCCATCGAGTTGATGCAGACTCATAGTGACCCTATAGCACAGGGTAGACGCTATAGCACCCTCGTGATTTACTAAGACTGTAACTGTTAACAGGAGTAGAAAACTCTGTATGATCTCCCTCAGAGTTGCTGGTGGTTTTGAACTGCTGACCTTGTGGTTAGCAGCAGACCGTGTAACCACTATGCCACCAGGGCTCCTTACAGCTTTATTTATAATCACCAGAAGCTGGAAGCACCCAACATGTCCTTCAGTAGGTTATGTGGATAAACTGTGATACAGCCTTACAAGAGAATACTATTCTGGATTTTTAAAAAGTAAGTTATCAAAATATGGATTAGTCTTAAATGTATAATGGTGTAGTATCCAAGCTGAAGAGGATGCATAGGTGATAATCCCAGACTGCCATTGGGGAAAAATACAAAGCTAATAGAGTTGTTAGTAAAGGGCTTTGGAGAAGGAAAAGTCCAACAGGTGAAGCACAGAGATTTTTTAGGTTGGTGAAGCTATTCTATATAATACTAAAGGTAGATAACATCACACTGCATTTTCAAAATCCACAGAGCTTTCCAACTCAACCAGTGAGCCCTAATGTATACACGTTTAGGAGGTCAGAGGATTCCAGGGTAGAATTGGAAACGTGCATAAGACTAGCTGTACGTAATGAAAGAGAACAGGGAAAGATGCCAGCCTCAATAATGTTGAAGATAAGTGAAGTCTGTAAGACTGAAAGCTAAAGAAAGTACACATAAGAACTTCAGTCTAGCTGATAAAGCTGTTTCCTGTGTGGTTATCAATCCTGGGAGCACGATATCTGCACATTGGAATTACATAGTTCATAAGTGGATGCTGATAATGATAGTGGGAGTGAGAGGTTACAGATAAGCAAGAAGAGGAGACCAGAATGATCCCTGTGGTAATGGATTCGAGTTGAAGACAGTTTAACTCATGTTTACCTTAATATAGATACAAATTATTACACAGAGATAGTTACAAAAACCTGGGTCAATGCACACACACACACACACACACACACACACACATATTTTCCTTGTTCTGCCAGCCGAGAAGGCCCAGATAGTGCCTGCCTATCAGAAAGAACAGGGTCTGGGGTCTTAAAGGATTGTCTTCAAACAAGCAGCCATCTAAGTAAAGTGTCAATTAATTCCACATGACAAAAGGATACCAGTTTAGGCGATCCAAGAATTAGGTGATCCGTAATAAACCCCAAATCCCAGGGAGGGAATGGTATCAGAGCTTAAATTGTGAGCACCCAGTGTGCACACGGCTGTGGATGGCAGTGGAAGCCCAAAATTCATTTTCAGGGTCCACACATGGATGAAGCCTCAGGTAAATCCCCCTGACTGTAGATAAGGGATGTGACTAGCCTTGGTATCAGACAGAGGACTTTGTAAAGTCAATTAGTTAGGTTAAAATGTAGTATATTATCATTTGATCTCCTGTTTTGACCCATTTTAAAGTTGTTTCAGTTAAAAAAAAAAAGAAGGGTAAGTCCACATATATTAATAAGCCTCTGGTGAATCCCCTCTGATCATAGACCGGGGATGTGATGGGCTTTCTATCATGTAGAGCGCATTGGAAAGTGTATTATTGCAGATGCAGTTAGGTTAAAATTTAACACCCTATCTTTTTTATCTCCCCTTTGACCCACTTAAAATTTGTTGTAGTTTTTAATATTTTCTGCTCTTTTTGAGGTTTTTGTTTTACTTTGTTATTGTTGTTACTTTCTTGGTTGTTGTTGTTGTTTTTAAAGGTTTTTCGGTCTATGAAATCCAGGATAAATCTTTAGAGACAGTAACTGGGTTAATGGTTCCTTGAGAATATGGCAGGGGAGGTTGCATGGAAATGGGGAGCTAATAACAGTACAAAAGCAAAGAATAGGCTCTAAAATTGATTGTGGTGATGATTATACAATTCTACTTAATATGCTTGAACTATTGAATTGTATGGTTTGTGAATTATATGCCAATAGAACTGTTAAAGATAAATAAAATGTTGCAAAGGCATTTAACAAACTGTGGGTAGCTTTAAGAAGAATGGGAATTCCAGAACACTTAATTGTGCTCATGTAGAACCTGTGCATGGATCAAGAGGCAGTTCTGTTTACAGAACAAGGGAATACTGCATGGTTTAAAATCAAGAAAAGTATGCATCAGGGTTGCATCCTCTCACCATACTTATTCAATCTTTATGCTGAGCAAAAGCATAAAAGCCAGGTTATTGAAGAAGAATGTTAGAACTGATTGTGATGATGTATATACAACTCATTTAAAAATGATTTAACTATAAAAGTGTATGATATGTGAATATTATATCAAGAAAACAAAAAAGGAAACCACACTTGACCTATGGTTACCAGGGGTGAAGGAGGAAGAGTTTTTGCTTAGGAGGGACATTGAGGTTATGTTAATGGTGGTGGAATGATTTGGAAAAGGATATCAATAATGGTTGTACAACACAAAGAGTATGATCAATGGCACTGAATTATATAGGTAGAAGTTGTTGAATTGAAGAATGTTTTGTATATTTTTGCCACAATTAAAAAAATATTACACAAAAAGCAATGAGTACAAGGGAGAGAAAAATGTTCTAAAATTGATTGTATATTGTGGGGGAAGGTCTGATGCGCAGGCATTCCCCCCTGAGGGCCATCAGTTGCGACTGCAGTGGGCCCCTGCTCCCTGCTGCTGGGGACAATAGACAGGCTCCTGTAGAAGGAGTTCACAGCCTACTGATAATGGTCTCTATCAGTTGAGCCAGGAACAAGTCAAACAGGCTCTGTGACATCCAAAGTTAGGCTGCCACCCTAAACCTAGGATCCGCCCATCTTGTCACAGGTATACCCCCAATCCCTCCTCTTCCTATTGTGTGTATGCCCCTAGACCACCCACTCTCATTCTGTATAACCTATAGTGCAACCCCTTCCTGTGAAGTATGACTTTACCTGTAATTAGTGGGTTTGCATACCCCCAAAAGGTATATAGGCCTGGGTCAGCAATAGAACTCTCTCTCTCCTCCTCGCACCCCCTCTCCTCTCTTCCCCCTCTCCTCTCCTATCCTCACTCCCTTGTTCCCTTTCCTGTCCTCCTTCCCTTCTCCCTCCCTCCACATGGACCACCAAGCTGGGCTGAGGTGAGCAATGCTACTATGTAATGTGTCTGACTGCATTATTGTAATATATCTCCTCTATCGCTCATGCTCTCGATGACTTTAATATAATATATATATATCAACCGTACAATTGTGCATTACTGAACCCTGGGTAGTAGCGGTGGGGGCTGGCACCTCCACCCCAAATAACTTAATACTACAGTATATTTCTCTCTTTTTTGTACAATTATTTTTTATATGATTGAACTATAGAATTGTATGATACGTGGGTGAAGTGCCAGTAAAACTGTTTTAAAATATTGTTATATATTGTTGGTTATGACTCAGTCGATTCCACACCACCCACCTCCACCCATGCCATCTTGCCCATAGTACCCTCCACTGCCGCCATCACTAATACCACAGCCATAACCACCCAAGCCATCAGGAATGCTGTATCCTCCGATGTCATTCCCATTCTTCCAACAGATCCGTATCCTCCCTGATTATCCATTCTATCTCTGCCATAGCCTCCCATTGCAGAACCTCCCAATCCAGAGCCGCAACCAAGAGTAGAATTCAAGACGACTTCAAGTGTATGGATGCTGCATGTTATGTTTATCTTTAGACATGGCAGCTGGTCTACTAGACTTCCTCACAGATTTAATTTATTTTGTATTTTTTTT